AGGCTGGCGGCCGGAGGAGTGAGGGGAGGCGCAGGCTGGCAGCGCGGCCGGCAGCCATGGGGGGGCGGCGGGCATGGCTGGAGGAGCGAGGGGGGGAGCCACGGGGGTGGCACGGCAGGGACAGAGAAGCCATGACGGGGGGCATGGAGCGGCCGGAGGAGGAGCCAAGGGGGGCATGGCCAGAGGAGGAGCTAAGAGGGGGGCGCCTTTTTTATGTTTGCTCCCACTCCTCTTAGAACCTGGCTACGCCACTGCCTGTCCTCTCTTGCTTGTTGCTGTCCTAGTCCTATCTCCCCTGTCCCACTGGTTCCTCGTCCTTGTTTCAGTCCCAGTCTCCTTGCCAAGACACACCGATATAAAAGTGACTTATACCAGTACAATTTATTCCCCTTCCTGTATGGGAATAGCTACAACAGTATAAGGACCTTAATACTAAGGGCATGACTACACTTGCAGATATAGAATGCTGTGAGTTAAACAAGCCCTCGTTCCGCGCAGTAGAGAAAGCACTACAGTGTGTTCACACTGTCAGCTGCAAGCGCACTGGCGTGTCCACATTTGAGACACTTGCAGTGGCATTGGGAGTGGTGCATTATGGGCAGCCACAGAGCACCTCCTTCCATCCTGGTGCAGTGGCTTGTGGGAAGGATGTGGGGGGTGCAGGGTATTCTGGGTCCTGTCCCAACGCCCCGTGATGCATCGCTTCACATCCCAGCAATCCCTGTGCTTCTGTCCACATTTGGCGCCATCTTTCAACGTTTTTTGTACTGCACGCTCTGTCTTCTCTTTTGGCCTGCGGGAATGGAGACTGAAGTGCTGAGGAATATGCTGATGGGTCTTGCCAGCACGTCACATTTGGCAGTCGAGTTACTCCTTAAGCTACAAACTGACAGTGAGGAGTTCAACGATGATGTCGACTTGCATAACGCATATGACACAAGATTGCTTGTGGCATTCATGGACATGCTCACCACGTGGAACGCCGCTTTTGGGCTTGGGAAACAAGCACGGAGTGGTGGGATCACATCGTCATGCAAGTCTGGGATGACGAGCAGTGGCTGCAGAACTTTCAGATGAGAAAATCACCCTGGTGTCTGGCTGCTCAAAATCGGATGCCAGACGATTTGCCTCAACCTCCCACCCCGCCATAAACATCTACCCCTTATTCTCACAGATATTATGGAGCACACAGCAAGCAGTAATAACAATGGAAATGTTGGTTGCGCTGAGGTCTGACCTAGTCAGCAAAGCTTTTAAACATCCAAATGCACATTCTACCACCATTCTGCACTTGCTCAGCCTATAGTTGAACTGCTCCTTACTACTGACCAGGCTTCATGAGCCAGGGGAGCAAGGGGTAGGCTGGGGTAGGTGCGACCATGTGGTGCTGCCGGCTGGGAGAGCAGCCTGAGGCAGAAGCCTCCAGCTCGCATGATATTCCAGGCAGGACTGAATCTCCATTAGACGAAACTTAAAGAAGAGAATGACCAGGAGCCTCTGGCTCCCATTCAGTGCTCTAAGAGGAGGATAGCCATGTCTGTCCAGGCGCCCCGATTGACCTCTCTGAGGTCTGCCAGGAGCACCTAGGAGACGTACAACGGCTATCAGTCCTACTGCACTGTCTGCCGTGAAGGCAAGGAGCTGCTGCTGTGTATCACTGCAGTACCGCATCTGCCAGCAGCACCCAGGAGATGTACGGTGACGGTGAGGTTGAGCGGGCTCCATGCTTGCCGTGGTATGGTGTCTGCACAGGTAACCCAGGAAAAAAGGCACGAAATGATTGTCTGCCGTTGCTTTCACGGAGGGAGGGGGGCCTGACGACATGTACCCAAAACCACCCGCGACAATGTTTTTGCCCCATCAGGCATTGGGAGCTTAACCCAGAATTCCAATGGGCAGCAGAGACTGCGAGGACTGTGGGATATCTACCCACAGTGCACCGCTCTGATGCTAGCCATGGTAGTGAGGATGCACTCCACCGACTTAATGCGCTTAGTGTGGACATACGTAATCGACTATATAAAATCAGTTTCTAAATATCGACTTCTATAAAATTGACTTAATTTCATAGTGTAGACATACCCGAAGATTGTAAAACATTTCAGGGCAGGGAGGGACTCTGTGAGTGTTTACACAACACCTAACAAAATGGCACCCCAGTCCTGACTGGGGCCCTACTGCAGCATAAATATTAAAAAAAAGTCAGTTATTCACATGAGAACCTATTGTTTAAAAGGGATCGACACTAGTTCAAGAGATGCATAATCATAGAATAGGTCATCAGTTATGCCAGTAATGTAGGGATCTTTAGAAGAGCCGTGATGCAGAGGGGTGTCATTCCCCATTTCTGCACAGTAAAAAGACTTGAATCATTTCCTTTGAGGAAAGCATCTATATTCAGAAGAGCACTTAAGCATACGGTTAAGTCACATTGAAGATAATGGGACTTAAGCACAAGCAAGTTGAGCATGTGCTTAAATGCTTTCCTGAACTGGGAGATTGGGTTAGGGGCTGAAACATGTATAATTTCTTTTTTTATATATATATATAAAGTATCTAGATGTTTTGAGAAGAATGAGAAAACTGTCAGATACATGCCTGTGAGAGTATTTGGACCAGTACCTTTCTAGACAGGGGCAGTATTCAGAGTTGAAAGAGATCTACTAACTGACAAGGTTAATGGCATGTAATATATTTAATACAAGGTAGCTGATTAGCTGTGAGGGGGGTTCTCCAACTTGGTTAATTGTAAAGGTGGTTAACTGTGTTGTAAATAAGGCTGTGAGCCATGGCTTTTCCTCTCAGAATAAATGTAGTGATAAATTGCTTACATTTGGATTTGGGAGGCTGGAGGAAGTGGCATTCTGCCAGTGCTTTAAGAAGCTTACTTTTCTTATTGATCCTGATATATAAACTATCCCGACGACTTTGGATTGTGTAGGTGAATAACATGGGAAATGCAGCATCAGCTACAGGAGATTACTTTGTCTCTTTAATAAAGATGCAGATACGAGTATGTGTTCAACTGCAGGCTGAAAAACAAATTAAAACTATAATCAATTACATTGAATGTAGAAGATTACGGATGCAAGAGAGTGAGATAATTGCACTGTCAGATGGCATGGAGGGTTTACCACCTGTCATTTGTTTTTAACAATTGGACCCAATAATTCTCCATATGGACAACAAAAAAGATTCTCAGAGCACATGCCCTTTGGTTCTGAGCTGAGAAATGAAGCTTGTTCATGACCATTCAAATTACAATTGAATCATTTACTAGATAACCAGAAAGTGCTTCTAACCTATTGCAGCTGAAAGCAGTTGCATTGTTAAGGATCCTACTAATTATATTTAACTATCTTCTGTAAGAAATCTGTGCAGAGTGTACCAAAAGGTGTTTGGCGCAGGCTGTAAGGGCTATCGGCTGCAGACAGTGCCATGTGTCAGTAAGTAGAGTTGTGGGAAAGAGCTAATTTTCACTTTTCAAGTATTCACTGAGATTTTTCTAGTGAAAAATTTGATCCAGGCTCAAATGTGAGCCTCTTCCACTACTGATGATAGCTTTACAGGGCAAAACTGCATGCTCATGCCTGGGCATATTTCACTTTTTTGTGATTTTTTTTTAAACAGCCTTTTAAGACTTCTTTAATCTGTTAGTGAAATTTGATCCTTTAGTCTCTTTGGCTTCTAAAATCTCCCAAGCTTTCATCTCTGCCCTCCAAAAGTTACTTGAAGATATCTGTATTGCAGTCTGCAGAATTTAGTTTTACTGGTCAACTCCAGCCATTTGTGAGGAGTTCTATGAGGCTTTTTGTGAATCATGCTGTCACACAATAAATAAGGGCCAGGACCTGCAAACACTTGCTATGAGGCACAGTGCTTGGTCCTGGACCTACTCACTGTAGTGAGCAACGTACCTGGTAGCAGGTGTTTGCCATGGCATTGCATTGTATTCTATTGTATTACAATGACACCTGAAATTAGGATAGCTAAAGTAAAATACTTTGTGCTTTTCAGGGAAGGTGAGTTATTCCTTTCTCTTGGAACCAAGCAGAGGTGAGAAGAGATAATATGAAACATACCTTTACCAAATTTCTGTTGAAGACTTTTTCATTACCTAGTAACATCACCCATCAATATGGTGGACAAACTACTGCTCTGATCTATACAACCACCAGACAAATGGAGATCCTAGTGTCTTAGACAGCCCAGATTCAACAGAGGAGGATGACTTTCCAATACTACATGAAAATGAAATCACTCAAGAATGGAAAGGCTACAGGTATTGACAACATCCCAGCTGAATTGATGACATTCAGAGGAAAAATAGTAATAGATGTACTCACCAAGATCTGCAACAAGATCTGGCAGACTGGTGAGTGGCCCTCCACGTAGACACAGTCACTAATCATCACTCTGGCAAAGAAAGGCAACCTGCAATTGTGTCAAAATTACCAGACCATAAGCTTAATTAGCCAACCCAGCAAAGTGATGTTGAAAGTCATATTGAACAGACTGAAGCCGCAAATGGAAAATATCATTGCTGAAGAACAAGCTGGCTTTCGTGCTGGAAAAAGTACCACAGAATAGATTTTCAACCTTTGTGTTCTATGTGAGAAGTACTTATAATACCAGCAGCACATCTACCACGTCTTTGTTGACTTCAAGAAGGCGTTTGACAGAGTATGGCACGAAGCTCTCTGGGCAACCATGAAGAAGTACAATATTGGTCGTAAACTTATTCTTACCATTAAACAACTGTATGCCAAGGCCAGCAGTGCAGTTCTCGTCAATGTCACAATAGAGAGTGGTTTCGCACCGCTGCTGGAGTCGGGCAAGGCTGCCTTCTTTTGCCCTCACTGTTCTACATCTACTTGGAGCACATAATCATAACCCTCTGTGTAGACAGTGCAATGTCAGAGCTTCTCTCACCAACATAGCTACCACCTCTTGTAAAGATGGAGTTTTTAAGCTGATGGGAGAGCTCTCTCTCATCAGCTTAGATCAGAAGTGGGCAAACTACGGCCCGCAGGACCGTCCTGCCCAGCCCCTGAGCTCTTGGCCTGGGAGGCTGGCCCCCAGCCCCTCCCCTGCTGTCCCCGCTCTCCCGCAGCCTCAGCTCGCCCCGCTGCCGGCGCAATGCTCTGGGCGGCGGGGCTGTGAGTTCCTGGAGCAGCACAGCTGCAGAGCTGGGCCTGACCTGGTGCTCTGAGCTGCATGGTGGTGGCAGTGGCAGCGTGGCCTGGCTCCAGCCGGGCGGCGCGGCTGTAGTGCCAACAGCCACCGGTGCTCCAGGTGGCACGGTAAGGGGGCAGGGAGTGGGGGGGGGGGTTGGATAGAGGGCAGGGGAGTTCAGCGTGGTGGTCAGGGGGAAGAGGCGGGGGTGGATGGGGTCGGGGGGAGAACGGGGGGTTGAACGGGGGCAGGGGTCCCGGGGGGGCAGTCAAGAAGGAGGGGTGTTGGATGGGGCACCTGGGGGCAGTCAGTGGACAGGGAGTGGGGGGTGTGTGGATGGGGCAGGAGTTCCGGGGGCAGTCAGGAAGAAGGGGTGGTTGGATGGGGCAAGGGTCCTGGAGGGGGCATCAGGAATGAGAGGAGGGGTTGGATGGGGTGCGTGGGGCAGTCAGGTGTAGGGGTCCGGGGGCGGTCAAGGGACAGGGAGCGGGGTAGGGTGGATGGGGCAGGCATCTTGGGGGGTGGGAGGGACATCAGGGAACAGGAGGGGTTGGATGGGGCAGGAGTCCCGAGGCGGGGCAGATAGGAGAGGGGGGCCGGGCCACAATCCCCTCCCCTAACCGGCCCTCCATACAATTTCCGAAACCCGATGCGGCCCTCAGGCCAAAAAGTTTGCCCACCCCTGGCTTAGAGCATCTTCACCAGAAGTGCTACAGTGGCACAGCTGCATCGGTGCAGCTGTGCCGATGCAAGTTTCTGGTGTAGACCTGCCCTAAGTCTCTCCTGTTCTCTCCCTGTGGCACATAGTTTAGTCTCATGAGGATTGAAATGCTTTTGTGTGAAGCTATTGTGTTTAATATAGGGCTATCCAGGTGAAAATTAACAGCTTCTGATATATAGGTCAGAGATGATGTAATGGTCTCTTCTAGCCTTATATTCTATGAAACTATGAAAAGCATTTCTTTCTTTTTCTGCATGGCCTGAATTCACTCTTCCTGTTAGGCAGGTTTAAGTGGTGACTGTCATCTTGAGTTATCTTTTAATCTTTCATCAATGATTGAAATGTTGCAGGATGACGACCAAAACACATTCAAGAGTTGAAAACTGTATGTAGTGGTTAGAACAGGAGGCCAGACATTAGGACAACTGGATTCTATTCTTGGTTTTGCCATTTACTCATTGAGCTTCACTGGGTAAATCATTTTGTCTATCTATTCCTCAGTTTGCCCATTTTAATACTGTGTGTAATAATATTTACTTACCTGAGAGGGGTGTTTTGAAAAACCAAGTAATATTTGGTAAAATGCTTTAATAGCTTCATATAAAAATGCTAAATAAATGCAAGGGTGTGTCTACACAGCCAAAGTTGTACAGTGGCTAACCTGCCTGAGCTCCTTTGAATCCAGGTAGTCTAGGTAGCAATAACAGTTAAATCAGTGCAGGGTGGGCTTCGGAGCAGACTAGCGAGCCAAGTAAGTACACAGGATCAGTGTCAGACTTGTACTATCCATTGCTGAAACCCACATTGTGCTGTCTTCATTGCTACTGTTACCTGAGCTAGCTGGACTCAAGCCAGCTCTGATAAGCTAGTCTGTGCACAGCTTTTGCTGTGTAAACATAAATCTAAAGTTTGAAACAGTACTACATTACAGCATGCTAGGGAACTGTTAGTGTGCACCTCTTAAGGTCTACACAGGCCAGTCAGTGCCCTTTAGAATTCACACCCCTGTAGTGTACATTGCCACAGTCCTAAGACATACCAATTTCCCAAAGACATGCCCTCAGTAAAGAGGTCTAGTGGCTGATGACTAACAAACAGTATTAAACAATGTATTTCCCTGCCTGACTTCATGTTTCGTGGTTAGAGCCAGAATTCTTGGTTTATGTTTCTACCTCTGTCATATAGTTGCTGTGTGAACTAGGCTTAACTTCTCAGCTTTACTTCACACACATATAAAATGAGTATAATAATACCCATAGTGTGTTGTCATGAAGTTTAAAGCCAGAAAGGGCCAACAGATCATCTAATCTGACCTCCTTTATGGCGTAGGCCACTAACACCACCCAGCACCCACACCAAAGTATTACAAGCCACAGGAGACTAGACTATTATGTGCTACGGGCAGAGAATAGGAGGGACCAAGATGCACCAATGCCCAAGGCCCCTGCAATGGCAGGGAAGTGATTAAGGGAGATATACCCAGATAACCCTGGCATATGACCTACAACCACATGCTGCAGAAGAAGGCAAAACAAAAACCCATGGTCACTGCCAATCTGGCCTGCGGGAAAATTCCTTCCTAACCCCACGTATGGCAATCAGCTAGACCCTGAGAATCTGAGCAAGAACCGGCTAGATAAGCCTTTGAGAGAGAGAATGCCCGGTGCCAACTCAGAGCACTGTCTATCCCAGTCCAATGTCCCATCTCCAGCCACAGCTATCCCTGATTCCTGCAGATGACTGGTTGAAACGCTGAAGCATGAGTGTTTATGAACCTAAGACATAAACCAAAAGTGAGCCCCAGGGCTGCTGAGCCCTGCCCCCTACCGTCAGAAGCAAGGTTTCTCTCCTCCTCTGTCGCTTCCAACTGATAAGCCCCCAGCTTGTAGCAGAAATTCTTATGATTAGACCCTAAGTGCATGACCTTGTACTTTGTACTATTGAATTTCATCCCATTTTTGTCACTCCAGTCTTCAAGGGCATCCAGATCTCCCTGTGTAATATTCCGATCCTCCTCTGGATTGACAATGCCTCTGGGCCTCAATCTGGGCCTGTATTTCTCTGTCTCTTAACTCCAAGGCTCTTTTGTGGGCAGCTTCCTCCCTGGCTGCCTCTGCTTCTTTGAGTTTCAATTGAAACACACGGTCCTTTGCCTTCTCTTCTGCTTCCAGTCTGGCCAGCTCTAGTTTAGTAGCTGCCTCACTGGTAGTCATTTTTCTGCTCTCTTGTGCTGGGCCACACCCCTCTGCTGTTCACTGAAACTGGGATGCACTCAGCTCAGGGGCTTCTTAGTTAACAGAGACTTTCCCAGCACCCAGTGTTTAGCCTTTCTGGGCAATTTGCAACCTATACAACTCTAGCTTCTTCTGATTGTCACTCTTACTTATTTTGCTTATCTTTCTGTCCCTACTTCCCTTACCCGAAATAAGCAAACAGAAAATAACAAACCAGTAACCACTTTGTCTGTTCTCCAGCCACCACACCCAAAACTCACTTAAAATCATTACCAGTATCTCAGAGCAATCAGCTGTGCACAGATCCTGCCGACTATGCCACTATGATGGGTTGGATCACAGAAACCACCTTGGGACTCCCAACTGATGTGCTGAGACTACCTCTAAGCCCATTTTCCCTGGCAGCTTGGGACTTCAGTGCCCTGCGTGGTTTGAGCCAGACATGCTAGCCTACTACAAACTCAAAACCAGGTCTGAACAATGTCCCCCAAAAGCTGCAGGTTTAACTGAAAACAACATAAGAAGTGTTCCTGTTTCCAACACTCAGATGCCCAGCTCCCAATGGGGTCCAAACCCCAAATAAATCCATTTCCCCCTGTATAAAGCTTATGCAGGATAAACTCATAAATTGTTCACCCTCTAGAATACTGATAGAGAGATATGCACAGCTGTTTGCCCCCCCGCCCCAGGTATTAATACATACTTTGGGTTAATTAATAAGTAAAAAGTGATTTTATTAAATACAAAAAGTAGGATTTAAGTGGTTCCAAATAATAACAGACAGAACAAAGTGAATTACCAAGCAAAATAAAATAAAACATGCAAGTCTAAACCTAATACAGTAAGAAAGTGATTACAGATGAAATCTCACCCTGAGAGATGTTCCAGTAAGTTTCTTTTACAGACTATCCTCCTTCTAGTCATACAGTACTACCCCAAGTAGTTAGATGTATTAAAAATCCTTGCTACTGGACTAGCAATCTCATGTCATGTGCCAGTTCTCTCAGTATTCTGGGATGGAAATTATCCAGTCCCCTTGATTTGAGCACATTAAGCTCTTTATGTTTTTCTTCCACCATCAGCCACACTGCCTTCATGCACATCATCCATATTAACACTGTTACTGAAAACTGCAGCAAAGTGTTCTTTTAGTTTTGGGAGCTATACCTAGATGATCTTTAATCTCATTCCCAAGCACACTGTACTGCACTTTACTGTTGGGAAGTTTACTTAAATAATATTTATCAAGCTCTAAACCTGAGAATTAGTCCCTGATCTTGTTCTGGCTGCACACAGAGAGTAAC